GGTTATGTCAGACTCTTACTTACTAAAACACACCCTTTAGTTCATGCTTATGGCCAGAAGGGCCTCATAAGCTTCATCTAAAGCGATCATCCCCTGAGAAAGGGATGATGCGATATAAACGCTGATCTTTTCAAGTGCTTATATACTTTGAAACCGACTTCAAAAAAGAAGGAGGTTCTATGTTCGACTATATATTATATTCTTTTTTTTTTGTGTATGCTATCCGATTTCTTCGTCATTTGTGGACCGATTTTCAAAATTCTTTTTTTATTCGAAAGAGGGTACTTCCGAGGTGATCCCATTGGGACCAAGTCAGGATCTGATGGTTGATTCCGGGGAAATCGAGGGAAACCATCAAATTTCAAAGGCATGCACGATGTTTTTTTATGCATGTTCACCGATTTCTCTGTCAATTATGTTATTGTTTACTTGGACGATATAATTTTCACTAAAATGGTTAAAGTAAAAAAAAAATTAAACAAAAAATAAAACCGTCTTCAAAATCGAAAATGGACCTAAAAAGTAAAAAATAATATCTGGTTTATGATTTGGAAGTTGGGCGGGGTCAAGATTTAAACATTAAATAGAGTTTCGTTTCTGATCGGTAATAATACGTCTTTCAATCTTGACCCGCCTTGACAATCACAACAACAATCTTGACTTTTTTGAAGTCGGTTTTAGTTTTTGTTTAATTTTGATTATAAAAACGTAACCTTAGCGCGACTCAGAAGCCGTTGGTACTCGTGGTAGCGTTGTGGTACCAAAGATATATTTTATTGTGGTTTTTAAATAGTTTTTTTTTGTTGCAATGCAATATTTGACACTACAATAACTTCATCTATGTCACTATTAATATTTTCTTCTAAGGAATTTTCAATAGGTAAAAGAAACTTTAACCAAAGTTGAACGACTCTAATACTCTTAAACTAACAAATTTATCTTAACCTCTATAGTTTTCCTTAAAAGTTCATGAAGAGCACTATTACCATGAATTTTTCCAGGTTTTTCAAGCCACTAGTTTAGCTTTGGAGGGACGCCCTACTCGAATTAATATTAGCACTTTAAAGTTTTCGCAAACGGATTTCTAAATCGAAAAATAGTCTTAGAAACCCCAAAGTAATTTTAAAGGACCTATGCAAGGATATCCCACACGATGGGGTAAATGATTATAATAGAAAAAAAACATCCCCAGGTTACATGTAAGGGAGTTACCATAAAAAAAAAACTGCCATTTTGTCGGCGGTATCGTTATACATAATAACAACTCTCTAGTGCTAATAGTCTCCAAGCAAAAACGGGAACAGACAGACGGACATGACGAAACTATAAGGGTTCCTTGGAAGGACCACGGAACCCTAAAAACCACAATGAAATATCTACGGAACCCTACACTGCGCGTGGCACGACACGCAATTGGCCAGTTTTTATTGGATAAGGTATACCTCAAAGGTGGTCCTAGATAAATCCCATCGTAATTGGTTTAAAACTAGGAAGAAAACATCCTCGATCGTAACTGATTACGACCAAGGAAGAATATGACTTCGTTCGCTACTGGTAACGAAATTCAGTTACGATGGCGGCCGACCGAAGGGGCTGTTTCAGTTTTTTATACGTTGCTCGATATGAAAAAAACGCTAGGCCAAAATTTTAAATCTCACGAGTCACCGAATCAATCCATCACTCCTTGGTCGACTTCCGCTTTATTTTTGGGCTGATAAGCTATAAGCGGGCCAAACGATAAGCAATTTATACCACGGGTTATCGTACATTGTATACTTTTTTTATCGTCGTATCAAATCAGTGCTAGATATGCCATTATGCTTAAAACTTATTCTTAAACTACATTCTTTGATTTCTAGATAGCTCAGAGCTACTGCTACGTAAAATTTGATTTATTTACCCAGTGTGAATTAGTTTCTTAAAACACAAAAACTTTTAGTCTTATATAACGTAGGGTCAGGGCATAGCTTTCATTCTTATTTGGAAAGTAGTACACTGTAAAATTGCGAGCTTTTAGTTCTAAAAGTTCTTAAGTCGTCAAACCAACATACCTAAGAATATAAATATGTATTATTTATGAATATCCGGCTTTATTTAATACTCGTTTCGATCTTGCGGGAAAAGTTAATCATTTAAAAATCGAATTCAACTTTCTAAAATTTTGAATTCCAAATTCTAATTAACAGTAGGCAAAAAAAAATTAAAAAGTTGAATGAGTAACCGTTCACTCAATTTTAGGCCTACGTAACCTGTTATCCAATTAAAATATATTGAGTCAACTTGAATAAAAAATATTTTTACCCAAAGTCCCTATAAAGCAAACATTCGTTAGCACAGATTAAAGTAAAGTAAGTATCAGTAGAAAACTAATTTTCGACTCAAAACCTGGAGTATTGTAGAACACTCAACAAAACCTATAAAATGACTTAAAGAAATTTTGTATAATCATATTTGTAAATTATTTCTTGTTAAACATTAAAACAATTAGCTGTGTCTGCAACAGTTCGAACGGCAAGATAAGTAGGTATTTTTAGTAGAAACAAATGTTCGGCGAGGTCACCGCATCGTAGCATGCGCAAGAGTAGACTTTTAACTATTCAATCTAGCATACATACAATACTAGTTTGTAACACTAGTTGGTACATAGTTAAGAAATATTTTTTTTCTCAAACATGATTGGAAAATTCAGCATTATTTTAACAACCTTCTTCGAGATAAATCGAAATTGCTGTACTGGGCAAATACATGCGAGCAGCGGCCAGCAAAAGTTGTAGGAAAATTCATATCTGTAGTGGTTTAGCGGCCTATTAAATTACATAAAACTCATATCTGTGTGATTTAAAAACGCAACTAGAGTCTGTGCGGAAAGAGAATGGGCATGCAAAAAACGGAACTAACATTAAGATTTTTATTTGGCAATCAAACCCAGCAATCTGTAAAACGTCAAAGATTTGTATTGATACGGATTTGTTTGTTGTTGTGATTTCTTGCGGTTTTTTGTATTTAAAATGTCTAAAAGGGGTAAAACCTTACAAATATGGTAGAAAAGCTCTACAGCGCCCTCCAATCTATATACCATTCTCTTTCCGCACAGACTCTATCTGTTACTCCGAAACATGGCAACCAAGAAGTAACTTATCAAAGGTTTTATTTAAATTGCGAACTGGCTTGCATATAGAGAGCTGTTTATTGAAAAAAAAATAGTTCATTACTGTAGCAGCTAGCAAAAGGGGCATTGATGGACGAACGTGTAAATCATCATCAAATCCATTAATGCCTAGTTGTGGCCAAGGCTTGTATAGTACTTTTCTCAATTAATGTGCGGAAGTCAAAACCTTATAATTACCTTTCGAAATCAATGACGAACTACAATAATTCTAAAGAAAAGTTTACTAGAAAAAAATCCACGCGGACCAGGCAGTCCCGTCCGCTGCCTGGTCCGCGTGGATTTTTGCAGCAGTTAAATGCTTAAAAAAAATCATAACTACAATAATTTTTCTCGCGTTAAAGTGTTTTTTGTTTTTTTTTCAATAAACAACTCTTTTTGCAAGCCTGTTCGAAGTTTAAATAAATCCTTTTATAAGTTTGGTTGCCATGTTTCGGAGTAAAAAATGATCCATTTTAAAACTATACGACTGATATGAGTTTATTAATTAATATATTTTGCTGCTAAGCCATGATAGACATGGATTTTCATACAACTTTTATCGGCCGCTGCTCACATGTATTTCGCCAGTACAGCAATTTCGAAAAATCTTAAAGAAAGTTCTAAAGAAAATAAAAATTCCACGCGGACCAGGCAGCAGACGGGACTCGAACCCGCACCCTTCGCAATCCGGGCGAATACACTGACCAATTATGCTACCGCGGCCCTCACGGACCGCGTCGAAATTCTTCTAGCCATTCTTAAACTGCAAGGCAGCGCCATCTCTTCGCATTATAGGTAACCTACAATTTTCTTTAGATTTAAACATCAAGCAGTTGCATGCTTTAAAAATAATAAAAATTAAAGAAGGTTGTCAAAATAATGCTCAAATTTCCAACCATTTTTCAGGAAAGTACTAATTAAGGGTTGGTCACAACTAGGCATTAATAGACTCACGTATGTGTGTATGTGTAACTCTTTTGCTGGCCGCTGCAGTAATGTACGATAAACTTAAGCAATAAGTATATATGCAGAATCTTATGGAGCCCATGGTAACCAAAGTCATGAATTATTTAAATTTACTAAAAACAGTAAGTACCAAGAATCATTCTATATTAGTTTAATTTCGCATTTATTTGTTTAAGTATGTTGATAAGAATCTACTCTACCTGAGCTAGCGATACGCACTTTCTAACTGCAAAGATAACAATTTCAAATAAAAATTTGTAGCTTTTTTTATTTAATTATTATAGTAATACTTTTAATATATCGCTACATTTTTTTTATCATAAGCATATCGCATAACATTTTTGATTATTAAAAAAACAGAGTTTATCAACAAGCAATGGTGTTTCAGTGGTAGAAAGCTCGCTTGCTACGCGGACAGCCTGGGTTCGGATTCCAGCCAAGGAAGTTCCTTTTAATAATTTTAAAAGTTTCACTTCTATCTTAGTTTGTAAAACTACACTTTTTTTAAATTACTCTAGTATGGATTATAAGCTTTTAATTGACATTCCCATACAAAAAAATAATTCCTAAAATACCTGCCTAGAACTTCTTCATTAAGTAAAGCCCAAAGAAAGAGAAAGTTATGTTTAAAAGGCAAATTTTTGTTGAGATAACCGTATCTACACATTTACTTTAAAAAAACTTATTTAACATCATTCATAAAGCCTCAACTCGAGCTTTTGCAAACATTTTTGCCTCTACATCTAATACCTACCTGTTAATAAGCTAACATGAAGCACGTAATCATGTTTTGAATAGGAACCAACAAGATTCGTGAAAGCAAATACTTAATACATAAATTAATAATGATTTCTAGCTTAATCACTAAATGAAAAATCACACTTACCAAATGATAGTCACGTGATGAATCGATATGAAATCTTTGCACTTTCGTAGCAACGGCTTCACACTTTTTTAATAGGTGGCACTATCCAAATAAAGTAGCACTATTCAATAGTTCACTATTGGACAGTTCACTATTCACACTTGCGGCATTTACCAAAACCACGCGAGTTTCTCAACGGTCGTGTCGTGTCACTTTCAGCAATTTCCCACTACCTAGATCGAGTTCTTTGTGGTTAATGTAATTCAAACTGATCACGTATTATTGGTTAAAACAGATCACACAGGGAAGGTAACTGATACCCAGCATTTCCCAATGACATTCTCCCTGTAATTCGCGTAAGATTATAATCAGATATACACGTTATTTTCACCGAAAAATATCGTAGAGGAAAATTTAAAATGTTAGCCACCGATTTGGCAATGTCAAAAACGAAATTGAATTAAATTCGACGATATCGTTGCCGATAAAAAAACCTACAATGCCCGAAATGTTTACTCAAATAAATGGAGCGACACGTTCGAAGCGGCTAAAGGTAAGCAAACTCCCAAATCCGTGCCAAAAGAAATTTTGTTCGAACAATTAGCAGTTAAATGTCGCCAAAGGCAAAGCGGCTTTTTTCTGCGAAACTTCGACCGCCGTTTCGTAATGCGAGCACGCCGAATGACAAATTCGGCGACGCACCCGCACCGCGTGGAAGCAAAATTTTCACAAACACTCTTAGAACACAAGTTTTCTTAGCCTTCGTTGCATTGTTATGCAACTGTATCCGCTTGCCAAATTGCCGAAACGGAAAAGCCGGTACGATGGATTGGAGAAATTTAGTTTAACTTTTGAAAAATAAGTTTTACTCTGCGATATTTGTCGGCGAGTCGATCACATGTACAGGTATGGTTTTTCGGCGTGATCGGGCGCGCGTTCTGTGCCGGCGCGGCAGAACGGCATAGCGCGTCCTCCTCGTATGAAATCTCGCGCGGTACTGAGGTCCGAGGCCGAGACGAGACGGTGCGTATCTACGACACTTTACATCACAGGTTCAAAAAAGCTCAAATTATCCCGTGGTAGAGACGGCAAACCAAACTGGTGTGCAAACTGATATAAAAGTGTTTTTAATTTTTGGAAAACTTAATGAAATTGTAAAATACTTACCGATTTACAGTAAGATGCGTTTGGTCTCGTGTCTATAGACTCTACCTATATCTTAAGAATAAAATAAATAAATAATACTAACACAAATTAGCGAAAGATTTTGAAATTTGGTCAAATATACAATTAAAAATAGAGAACAAGAAAAGTATATACTAATAACGGAAGTTCCGTTAACACGACAAACATGGGAACATTTTATTTGTTTTTGTTTAAAAAAATTTCTGAGAAAATAATTATTGGTCATACTTTAACTCAACATTATAAACACTTTAGTTGAGAAATATTTTTGCATACTATTATAAACCGAAACCTGATCAACGTGTACTTTAATTGATTTCTAAAAAGGAGCTCATTAATTATGAAATCGGACAATGGAGTCGATTCTGACGTGATTCTCTATACCTTAACTTAATTTGACAACAGCGTATTCTTCCCATTCTCTATATATAATAAAAAGGAGAAATTAACTTTAAATTTAGTTTTAAGTATTGAGAATCATTACAGAATCGACACAATATTCAATATTTGAAACCTCTACAATTTAGAAAAACAAATACGAAAAATTGATAAATTAGCTCACGGTTTTGAACAAAGTTTAAAATTGTATCGCATGGGATAAAAGGAATCGTAATTTTTGAAAAATCAATATGAGCATTGGTTATTAGGGTATCTTAGGTCTACCTAGAGACTTCAACCCCTGATAAGTAAAAAAGGGGAAATGAAAGTTGTATAGTCCAGGCGAGCGAAGCCGCCGACTGAAAGCTAGTCTCTCTACCTATATTATGGCCTTGACCATACCTAGATACCAGTGACGGATTTCATAAACGTGGTATGTATGTCTGTATATTTGTCTACGTTTTTTTTTCAAAAACAGATTTCTGCGAGTCTTTAAATTCTGCTAGTTTAAGTTTATATAAAACTGGCGAAACCTATAAAGTATAAATACATTAGACAAGATCCTATACTGGAAGCCTGAACCGAGTAATATTCTTTTAAGATTTATAAATCTAGGGGTTAAATGCTTAAAATCAAAATATAATAAAATATTATAGAAATCTTAAACTCTTGGTCAAGTTAAATTTTCTTAAAATTTCTGATTTTCTGTGCAACTTTCCTTTTTTTCGTAAGAATCTTCAACAATGTATAAGAAAACTTGAAGAAAACCCACAGGAATCTGCGGAAAATTGAATATAACCAACTTTTTGGATTTTTATTTTTATTTCCTTCAAAAAAATTCTCACGAATTTTTCTAAAAACTTTTATAACAAACACACTAATTTCTTTCGTTTCAAAATTATTTATTACGGGAGCATTCAAAATACGTCGATTAAAGAGTGTTAGGGTTGCTCCCGAGGTGGAAACTACTATTTATCACCCTCTATGAGAAAATAAGTAATGTATATGTAAGAATAGTACGTTTATTAAAGGACATGGTAAAGTTTTGTATGAGCGACTGCCCTGGCAATGTATAAATACTGCACTTAGTAACATTTAATGGTAAATGGTTGAATATTTATAATTACTATGAAAAAAAGCTCAAGAACTTTTGATAAAATCACAATCTTGAAAATTATAAGAACTCCTACTATGTCATTACCTTACTACAGTTGATAAAAGTGTTAGTACCTTAAAAAACTAATGACAAACTATATTAAATAAGTAAAATAAACTGGTAATAGACATCTTAATAGCACTGTATTTTCTTTTACATTGACGTACTTTGTGAAAATGATTTACGTAGTTTTTATTCTAACTTGTCTACTTACTATAGACACTAATGAGGTTCAACACTCCTCCTCGATTTCATAATTAAAAGTTAATTAATAAATCGTTAAATACACACATAAACACAAGAACTTAAAACACTTCAACACTCCTCTTCATAAAACATAAAACACTACAAAATACTATTTCAATTTATATTAAAATACTTATTCATACAGTTTATAAAATTAATTATCTTTTCTTTAGAATGAGCTTTAGTCATGATATCAGCAAGATTATTATTAGTGTCTATATACTGAGCATTGATTTCTCCCTTTTTAATTAAATGTTTGATATGATTGTAACCGATGTCAATATGTTTCGTCCGTTTACTGTTCTCGTAACTTTTAGATATATAAATAGCTCCTCTATTATCTACTAGAAGTTTAGGTTGTATATTCTCACCCAAATTTTGTGCTACGCCTTTCAAATTCAGTGCTTCAAATGCAGCTAATGATGCAGCTACAAACTCTGCCTCTGCAGTTGAAAGAGCTACGCAATTTTGTTTTCTGGAATACCAAGATATTATATTAATGTTGTATAAAACTACACAGCCACTCACGCTTTTGCGGTCGCCTTTGTCTCCAGCCCAATCTGAATCAGAGTATACTATAATAGAACTACCTTGTTTTTCATTTCTTTTGTATACTAGACGAATTTCTTTTGTTTCTTTTAGGTATCTCACAACTTTCTTTGCCTGTTTCCAACATTCTTCATTTGGTTTGTCAAAGAATTGTGCTAAATATGATACAGCAAAGCTAATATCTGGTCTTGTTACTGTAGCAATAAACAACAAGCTTCCAATTAGTTCTCTATATTTAGTTTGATCTGTAATTTCAATATGTAAATCCATCTCCATTGGAGTTTTCACACCATTACACTTGGACATTTTAAATATCCATTTAGGAATGCTGTTGGGATATCTAATTGGTGAATTGGATAATTTTTCTGTATAGCTTGTGCTAAAAACATTCTAACTGTGCTAAGTCTAGCTACAGGGGAATAGTTATCTTTGAAGTAATTCTCCTCCTGAACTTGAAATCCCTTTGGGACTAATCGCGCCTTTTTTACTCCATTTTCTTTAATAGTAAATACCCCTTTAGTGTCTATGGCCTCTTTGTTTTCGGGTAATTCAGCTTCAGTCCATGTTTCTTATTTTGCTAATGATTCTATTTCTTTCTTTATTGCAACTTTCCACTCTTCATTGCTTGCTGCTTGCTTAAAAGTGTTAGGTATCTTCCCTTCACATGCATTTAATAAACAGTGTGCTACATAAACTTGATAATCATCTAAATGAGTTGGTAATTTAACTTTTCTTCCTAGTTTCCTATATTTTTCTTCTTTAATATTATTATCATTTAAGTTTAAATCTAAAGAAAATTTAAGTTTGTTATATTTTCTTGTTATTTACTACTTTCTTCATTTAAATTTTCAATTTTGTCTTCTTCTTTGTCAGTATCATTATTAATTTCATGTTGTACAGTATATTATATTGTATTTTCACAATCGCATTCTTTCTTCTTCTTATTATCTTGCTTAAATTTGTTATTGTATTCATCAAATTTGACGTCTGTAGATATCATTATTTTATTATCTATTAGGTTCCAAAGTTTGTAACCTGACCCACAATATCCTACCATAATCATGGTCTCAGCTCTAGGTTCTAGTTTATTAGGCTTGGGTATAGTTGTGTTCCAAGCTCTTGCACCAAAAACTCGCAGCTTTTCTAAATAGTTTTTGCCATACCAAAACATAGATGGCGTTTTTCCATGTAAAGCTTTTGTAGGACTTCTATTTATTTCGTAAGCTGAGCACTGGATAACTTCTCCCCACAATTCTTTTGGTAAGTATGTCTCAATTAATTTTGTTCTTGTTTTATCTAATAAAGTTCTGTCCATTCTTTCGGAAGTGCCATTTTGTTGTGGCGTGTATGGCGTTGTGTATTATACATTGATTTCTTTCGATTCACAAAATTTCTTAAATGCTTTTGTCGTAAATTCTCCACCATTATCCAGTCTGATGTGTTTAGTTTTCAAATTAAATTGAGTTTTGATATGTTTTATATAATTTGCTATATTTTGTTCTGCTTCATTTTTATTTTTTAATAGTTTTACGACAACGTAATGAGAGTTGTCGTCTATCAGGACTTGAAAATACGTTTCTCCATTTATTCCTGGTGGTGAGATTGGACCGCAAAGACCTGAATATATGAGATCTCCAATTTCTTTACTATTTCTTACCACGTGTACAAAAGACCTTCTAGTACTTTTGCCTTCTATGCAACTAGTACATTTCGTATTTGAATATGGTAATTTTAATATTTGTAAACCTTTCTTAGGTGTCCAAGTGGGGTGCTACGTCGGAAACCTCCTCGTGTGCCCGGTCCATTTCCTGTCCCTGGGCAGTTATGATAGGGGAACGGAAATGGGTCCGGGACGGTGCATCCCGGGCGCCTGCCTAATGTCTCCCACTGAGGGTGCTGTTACGGAGGTGTCTAATAGCCGACAATCTCGTAACCCCGTACGTGGTGCGGGGCCGAGGGCCGCTAGTCTCTTCGGAGGGTGGGGGCCGCGAGGAAGAAAACCTCTCTAAAAAATTACCCAGTGGGAGGTCCTTCTTCTTCTAGTCAAGAAGAGGGTAACCTACCACACCAACTCGTAACCTCGTACTATAGTGCGGGGCCGAGGGCCGCCACCCTTTTCGGGGGGTGAGGGCTGCGAGGAAGAAAACCTCTCTAAAAAATCACCCTGGAGTATCTCGACTGGCGTCCTGGGCATCCTGGGTAGCGGCAGTCGAGATTAGTTGATGAGGGCGGTTGTGGCGCGAACTCCGCGCCACCTCCGGCCGACCCGTAAACCCGCACGTGGTGCGGGAACGGGGGCCGCCACCCTAGGGTGGAGGCCAAGAGGAAGAAAACCTCTTTAAAAATTAGGCCAGGTAGGGTCCCCCCGCCCGGAAGGGGGAAAAACTTAATGAATATGTCGTTTTTGAGATTGCGTTTGTCATACGATCCCATTGACCACGGGCGCTTTGGGGTACCTTGGCCCCAGTGTGAAATGGACCACAAGC